CCGTCCATCCACCTGATGAATCCCAACGCAGAGGAGAGTGCTCGTGCGGCTTAGATGTTTCGGATCCGGTCACACGCTTACATCAAGCTTTCTCCTTGAAGTTCCAAATGGGGGCTGGTTATCTCTAAGGGAGGCTGTGCTTTGAAGGTGTACGTATACAGAGGATCAACTGAACTGTTCTCAGAAATATTCCTGGTGGTGGTTTAGACGTATTCTCCTCTCACATTAAATTAATATATTAGTCCTTATTGTCTGTATCCATATTCGTATTTATATTGAGTTATCTTTGCGGACTAATAGTGGTCCCTTTAGCTCCTGTTTTGCTAACTTGGCACACCGCATCTAGACCAACCTTCTCCCTGTCAACTTTCTGCTTCCACTACGTCCCTGTAGACTCCTTGGGTTCATATGAAAGTTACTGTAATGATGGCGGCTATGGTTTTGTCTACACCGATACTCTGTCCAAATTATGCTCCACCTCTCACCAGTGTCGTAAAAATTCCTAAACAGTGGGAACTTCGGGGTCGCAACACAATTAGCAGCAAAGTGAATGACTACACTGAATGCTACGACGCGACTGAGCCAGGGGACTCGCTCCATCTAATTCCTTGTATGTTGGGCAGTTAGTTGCCGTAAGTCCTGGTGTCTGTTCCTCTTGGAGGATGATGCAGGAGAGGCCAAGCATGACCTGAGCACGCTGCTCAAAACACAGCTGGTGTTAACCCTCTTGGTTCTCGTATTCTTTGAGAGTGGGTTGCCAGTGAACCATCTCATCAGTGACCAGACACGTTCACAGACATGGCGAAGCCCTCCAGCGAGATAGGCGAGATGGCCCAAGCGGTTAGAGCGCGAATTTACTGACCGGAAGGTCCGTTGTTCGAATCCGACCTCCGCCACTCGACTTCCCCTGTCTAGGCTTGCGCAACCTGGCAGTATCCCAGCCCTCGTGCTTCCTTCGGGTGGCATGGCAGCTAGGTACCGAAAGGGTGCTACAGCTGAACGCTCATTGGCTCTCTCTCAGTGCTGCTGAATCTACCCACTTATTTTTATTCACCATCCCACCGTTTTCCTTGTTTTCTCGTCCTGATCCATTGACATCAATCATTCCTTTCATCTAGCACTACTGGCATCCGAATTATGTTACCGTCCAATCCAAAAGTTTCAAAACTCTTGCTAGGGTAACTATATCTTTGTTATTCTTCAATCGTTCAGCTGTAGCACCCTTTTGGTGCCTAGATGCCATGCACCTTAAAAAAGCATTAGGGCTGGGCTACTACCAGGTTGCCTAAGCCTAGTTAGAGGGAGTCAAGATGCAGAGGTCTGGTTCGAACCACGAACCTTCCGGTTAGTAACTTCGCGCTCTACCCACTGAGCCATCTCTCGGCTGGATAACTGTACTCAACTGAATCCTTGCATCAGCGAATGACAATGTGGGTTCTGTGGTCCACTGCTCTCTGTTTATGCATTCAAGGACACATCAGAGTATGCGGCGTCTTGTATAGGTATGACGAATGTCATATGAAGAGGCCACTGGCGTTCTACATTCGGGATTCGCAGAACTTCTTTCCTGTTAAATAGGGAACACATTTATTTGGCTTGTTAGGGAGACTGAGCGAAAATCCAGCTTAAACGAGGAAAAAATCTGAATATATCCGTTTATTATGGAGCTGAACTTCGCTCTCAGTAGCTGGTAGGTATTTAATCACTTAGAGCTTGAGTTAGCTCAGTAGTTAAGACGCGAACTTACTGACCGGAAGTTCCGCGGCTGGAACCCAACCCGGGCATCTCGACTGCTCCTGTCTAGGTTTTGGCAGCGTGGCAGTATCTCAGTCCTCGTACTTCCATTGGTTTGCATGGCAGCTGGACACGGAAAGTGTCACAGCTGAAGCAGCAACACGCAATCACTTTGGCACCGTGAACTTTCAGCAATGGGGGTATGTCAGGTAACTATATGGCTCCGTTCGGCTGTAATACCCTTCGGGTGCCTAGCTGCCATTCCACCCTAAGGAAGCACGTGGACCGGGATAGTGCCAGGTTGCCCACGCCTAGACAGGGGAAAGCGAGAGGCAGAGGTTGGGTTCGAACCACGGACCTTCCGGTCAGTAAATTCGCGCTCTAACCACTCGAGCCATCTCGCCCCAACAATACGGCTACCATTGTGTGCTAAATTAGCACTAAGGCGAGGCCACCAAATGGTCAATACAGTAGCGGAATTCAGTCACCGTTAACATTTTGTTTTGTGTAATTTGGACACACTAGTACAAGGTAAACCGAGTAAGTCTACTTGTGCGTTGTATTGTTTAAACTTTTCTCTGTGAGCTGGAGTGCAGTAGGTCCTTGATAGGATGGTCTTTACTGAATTAGAGTCATGGCTGGTGGTGCATAGGCGGACTTCGAAATAAGGAGAGGTTAGAATAATGAAATTGGATAACGCGACTGACTATTTTATTATTTAGTGGTCCGATTAGTATCCGCACAGACCAGTTGAAATAGAACAACTGAAGTAATACTTTGTTTCGGGATTCGTCTGATATCTTCAAAGTACACTCTTCAGAACTTCTATCCTTTNGACAAACAAATGCGCAGACAACATTCGGCCACTTAACTTATGGGATTGACAACCGGTTTCACTGAAGACAAGTGGGTGCATACAAAGTGACCGTAAAGGCCGTCATATTTTGAGGTTGCACAGTTTGGCCTGCAAACGTCTTTAAACGCCCGGCCAAGAACATCCGTGTAGCATAACGGGGGTCAGCTGGATGCTGGATGCATAAACGAGTATCTGATAAATGTTCATAATCATGAGAACAGTAATTAAAACTTACCAGGCTAGGGCAGTTGAGACGTGCGTCATACGTCTATCTGCCGACTACAAAAAGCGTTGCCTTCTCCATTGCGCCGCTGTTGAAAGCTTCCTGTTGAACAGTTGAATAAAAGCAGCGAGTTAAACTGCACGGATTACGTAACCGATCTCATTGGAGAGCATGCCGCCGTTTCCCAGGCGGACTGCCCAGGTTGAATTTCTTATTCGCTCCACACCGAGCCTTTATTGGGTTGGGTTCTGGAAAGAAGCTAGGTCAATCGTACTGATGACATCTTCTGATCTGATATTCACATCCGTTTACCTGAATGATGCTGGATTATCTGCCCAAAAAAAAATAGATTTTGGGCCGATGTTCGCCTGCGCGTTGATCAGGTTTTACCTTTCTCTACGATCTCCTTAAAAGGCTCATTGATGGATGACACTGTGCACGGTTTCAGTAATGAAATGACTGTGCAACCCACTATTTCGGTTATGGAATTAAAGCCTTCGAATACTAAGATCTCTTCTCCCCATTTTTCCACTCTTTGGTAGAACATTCCTTCCTCATGGTTGTATTGCAGTTAGGACCACTGTCTTACTTTTTCGTTTCCATCGCTAATGAAAGTGATGCAGAATAGAGTATGGTGAAAGCTAGAGCAAGACTGGGTTTTTCGCAGACAGTTGGGCTCAAATATCGGACTTCTGCTAAAAGAGCGAGGAAGTCATTGACAAATAGACAGGACAAAAACAAAAAATCCTTATGAATTCCATAAGAATCCAGGTGAGCCAACGTCTGGTGAGTGTACTAGATGATTAATCAACCTTGAAATTGACTAACATCCTTGGTTTCATTGATGAATACAGTACAGAAGTTATCAGTAGTACTGTGAGACGGTACGCATGGTGGGTTCAAACCGCCTGTCTTTCAGTATTTTTTGTAAGAGTACGAAGGCTTCCGTGTTGAAGCTGTTCGCAGGAAGAGGGTTTGCCGGGTTTCGAACATAAGTTGAAACACTCTGTTGAATCACGGACGAACCCCTCCACTTCATCGTACGATTCATGTGGTAGATCACTGCATTTTATTCAAATGAGCCGATGGCTAGCCCCCCCTCACGAAAACACCCAGAAACGAAAGTACTTATTTGACAAGGTAAGTTGTCTCCGAAGAGGCAGTTACATATTAGTAGGAAGAGATACGGTGTCGGGTGAGGAAGTGAGAGAGGATCTACCGTAGTCCGCCGTTCGTCTGTTGAAAATTTTCTCAAAAAATAAAATTCTTTAGCTGGATTTTTGAGTGCGAAACTTCTGTTTCGCACACTGCGCCAGCATGTGACGAGTGTACAAGTCAGTCAGAGTTGTGGACCTCAGACTACTCGTCCTCACAACTTGCTAGTGGGGTCAGACGGCCAATGTTCTCATCTTATGCTCAGTAGGGAGATGTTTTAGGGGAGCCATCACCGGGATCTACAGCGGGGTGTTTTTGTTGATTTTGGGGATTGAAGTTTTAGGCCAAGACTAAAATAGAGTCTTGTACAAACGACGAAGAGTAATGAAGAAACAGCGGTTTTAGATGGCCCAGCGGTTAAGGCGCACAGCTGCTAACCGTAAAGTCTGTGGTTCGATTCCTCCTGCTCGGGTGTGGGCAACCTTGCAACCTTGTCCTTGTGCTTCCTTCGTATTGCGTAACAGCTGTTCACGGGAAGGGTACCACGGTTGGGCAGTTATTTTTAATGAAAGATAACTGATTTAAGCACGAATCTCATGGTGGCGTGAAAAGTAACTAAGAAATCAGAGGTAAGTTTGGCGTTTCTGAATATGTGGATTTCAATGAAGATACCAGATTACGCGTAACGCGGACTAAGGTGATGTCATGGTTCATTCCATGAGTTTTGCTGAGTGGAGCGTATTTTGGTCACGGTGTTGTATAAATTCAAGTTTGACGGATGAAGCTGGCAGCTCAGTCCAGGACCTAATGTGATGAATCACAAGGTAGTCAGTAGTACTTCCACGGATATCAACGTGGTCACATTCCGGTGCTGTCGTTCTTACTCCCATCGGATCAGTGAAGACGATCTGGGGGACACTATTCCGAGTTCAGCTCTCCGTTAATTAAGATTTATTATCATTAATTAATAATTTATTCCTATGACTGACAGGGTTGATCATATGTGCATATACTTGTGGTTGCACCACTGGACTTCCTCCTGTCATAGGCAAATCTTTCCACGAACTCATCTTTTGCAGCAACTGTTTCCGCATTCATTTCTCTTCAGCCATTGACACTCACTGAGGCCTTTGTCTGAGTGTCACTCATGTGTAGAGTCTAAACAAGCCAATGGCACCCAAATACAAAAACGACTTGGCCAAATGCTACGCTCTCCTCAAGTAGGATATATCTTGGTATACAGTAGACTACCTTCAGGTTGAACTATAACTGGAAGACTACCACCGAAGAAGATATTCCGTTTATGAATGCAGTGTCTGATTTGACAAAGGAGCTTACTGATGGATCATCCGAAGATGTGAAGCCCGTTTGTGGTAAACTGGACGCGTTCCCGTCTTTAACCAAGTTGTAGTTAAGGAGGATCGTGAAGGCTGTTTGAAGTCACTCTCCGATTTTCTGTCACAATATGGTGAGATCTCTCATTGTTGTGCACTTCATTTTCCCTAGTTATCTAGTTTCCACTATGCTTTATGTTTACAAACTGAAGTTGCCAGTATATCCCCTTAAACACACCGGGCAGAATCCGTGGAGGTTCCAGTGTAAAATAACGGTTATGGCCCTAACTCAGTTCTTGGTCAGCCAAGGGACCATCAAGGGTGCGCATAATGTGCTGGACGCTAGAAGCAAGCCGAAAAACATGTCTTAATTAAAGTGCATGGAACCGGAACAATGGAAACGAGGCCGCAGTTGTTGGGAAATGACTGCCTGTTGCATCCACGTTTCCGACCAGTCAGAGCTCTCCTTGATGCCAGAATGATCAGTGGCCGGACTTTCTGAACAATCGTTTGCGAGTTAGGCTTATTTATCATTACAACGCCCAAATATGAGCGCTAGAGCTTAGGATTTCGCCTAATATATGTTGTGGAACTGTTTCTAGACGATGATTTTATCGGAACTACTTATTCTCAGCGGCTTTCGGGTCCAAATTCTGCTCCTCTTACATAAGCGTTGCCGCCACTGTTGCGCCCACCCTCCCTGTAGGTGAATTTTTCAAAAGGTTCCTTAGTTATGTTTCTGACGCGATATCTAAAGTTGTCTGTCTCAACGTGATCTGCAGCAGCAGGCTGTTTAGTTATTCGATTGAACCACATGATAACTTCCACTGTGTATGAATCAGCAGCAGCTGGTATTCTGGACACTGCGGTCGTGCTTTGTCCGATTGTGCAAAAAAACATTGTCGTCACTTTTGTCTCACTTTGTCTTGGTGAGAACTGTGCATCCGTTTGGCCTTGGCGTTAGTGAGTCGTTACTGACGTGAACAAAGTCGCCGTATGCTGCTCCAACCAGGTCTCTCCGTACTAGATTTCCCCGAAGGTCATTAAGAACTAATAGCTGGAGTCGCTTCATGGCTTCGTACGCTCCCTTAAGCCTCTACACCGCTTATGAAGGCCTACTCCGGAAATAGGAGTCAAATTCAAAACACCATTCAGGAGAATAGTCAGCGAGCCGAAACATCTCGGTGGTTCAGGAAGAAAATCCTGATACTGGCCAGCCTTTCAAGCAGAATGCGTTGAGCACTTGTTCACGTTCCTTCAAAGACAGTGTACAGTGCGATAGATTGTCTGCATGCGTGATCGGTACATCTTACTTGACTGTTATCTTTCTGTGCAACATTGTATATCGTTCAACTTCCTTAGTGCTCAGAAGCCCGCGATATTAGGTTTTTTTTTCATCGAACACTACTGGATCAGCTAGCGTCTGACGCTGGCGAGTAACCGCCCACCATCTTACCACAGGCGAATCTGTTAGGATTACGTTAGTTCCTAATCGACATGCTGCGATAACAAACTCTTGTTCACCTACCTAGCCCATGGATTTTTCTGACCTTTGCGCAAAATCAGTAGTCGTGAAAGTTGTTATTGGAGTCTTCCTTATCGTCAACCCTCCTATTTTTTAGGCTGCCCCTATCCAGCTTTAATGAATGGATCACTGGAGCAGCGTTTCGGATCGGCTGACAATCGTATGCTTTTGCTGCGTGAGTTCGCACATTATTACCGCTTCCCTCTGAAAATTTCCACTCGGTCCTCAGCTATCATCAATGCATCTTTTCCACACGATTATCGTAATTTTGGGCAGCTTTGACTCAATCGCGGTAGCAAAGCACCAGTGTTGAACATTGATGTTATGCTGCCCATGATGATGGTAAATCACGATGTCTTCCGAAATAGCCTGTGCGTGGCTGCGCCTGGATTCTAAGCAAGTAGGCTTTCGAAGAACTAGTTGGCTGGCGGCAGGTCAGAAGTCCTTTGGATCTACTACTTGCTATTGATGTGTTTTTCCGCTCGGATAGTACCGCCAACAGCTACCCACAGTAATTCTTCATGTTCTCTCTGTCTTCGATCATTAAATATCCATCAGTTATTGGGATGAAAACCCCTGCAGATGAAGATGATTTGCCTCTGGTTAGTGCAGCTGGTGTGGAGATGTGGGTGCAAGACGACGTAGAAGCTTTGATCGTTCAGTTTCTAGTCGTTCCCTTCTTTTTGGACCAACCGATGTCGTTCTGGGGGAACTGTGGGTTCGAGTAAAACCTAATCAGCCTTCCTAAATGCGTTCCACTCCTTTTGAGTGTCGTCCATCTGGTGATAATTCCCTTGTTTGACCAATCCTGTCCTGTTTCCCCCGCGGAACTTGAACCGAGGTTACTTCCTTTATTCCTTCTCATTTTCATGCGTCCATTTTCTCAGCATTCTGTTGTCGCGCGTTCCGTGGCCGTATGTATGTATAGGTGCATATTTCTGGCACGAACATTCACATTCCGTTACTCGTACTCCATTTTGCCCACCGTTTGAGACAAGTTTTCCTCTATTCGCTTCGCGGAACTCGCTTCATCACACCAGTTTCTTTGAGTCCTTGGAATGCCGTCATTTCCGACCGCTTGATTCACATTTGCATCACTTGTCCGACTTGTTGCATGTATTTGATGTATTCTGTAGAATTTCGGTCTCTTACAGGTTAACTCAGTCCTTATTCTGTTAGTGTTATGTCAAAGTAAAAAAAATCACCATTATTGTTGGGCAAGATTGCTGTCGTTTTCGCATCAGTCACGTGAACACAGTTTGGCAGGCGACCTACTTGAATCGTTCAGCAATCAGTTTCCGATGGTTCACTAGCTAGACCTGTATTTTCGTTTTAACGGAATCACTGCCTCAAGTTGCGCCAAAGGCTTCCAGCGTGGACAGTTGTAAGCAAAAACTGAAAGACAGACTCACCGTGGTTGGACAGTGCTCCATCCTCATCATCCAACCGAATTCCATTCTGTGGACACCAGTTGCATGCCATTCATTCGTTTTTTTTCTCATGCAGGCTATCTTTGCACTGAACTACTGGCCAAACGTCTTCTGAGGAAAAAACCAAAGCAGCAATATGACACCTCGGACGTCCATGAAGCCTCACAACAGATTACCACAGAACTCAATCGGGAACTCACCGATTACTTGAACCGAGCGTGTAATGCTCTGGGTCTCGTTCGACCTTTGGGAGAATTTAACTTAGGTGACACGTTTGACGCTATTCATAACGCTGTGAGTTTTTAAAAAAAAATTATTCTCCTACTATTTTGAAAACGTGAATGATCTACCATGATACTGTTTGCCTTGATTCATCGACGGAATCCGGTCCATTAATGCAATAGTTCGAATTTTCACACTTATTTACTCGTGAACAGTGTAGTTAGCACGTGGTTAGCACGTATTTGTGACCTTACTTTGAGGGCATACTGACAAGACGCTGACTGTACCATTCCAAACTGTTTCAACTACCTTCACCCGTGAGTCTGGATTGTGTAGAAAAATCACATCAGAACGCAATGCAATGGTCGCTGTCACTAGGCTCTAATTCACGGCAGTCCGTTTTTTCGCGCATTTTCACCTGGTTTCCACGTGCGGAGAACCGCATTACAGCGAAGTTGCTGGGACCTGGTAAAGGGAGTGACAAATGTTTTGCCGCGGAAAGTCCTTTGCAACGGGAATCTCTACATACGAGACTCGCCGGTGCTTGTTCGGCGGGTCACTTTGTTATGCCGGTATTTTTCTGGTGATAATCTAGTAAACTCCATAAAGATGGTCCTTCCAAAGACAGACTAGTCCTCAGGCCTGTCCACAGTAAGCTTTCACCGCCAGATTACCATTGGTCCCCCATCTTTAGGAAAGTGACTCAGCAACTCCTTGGAGTGTTAACGATTTTGTTCCACGGCGGAAAATTAACCCGATCGTCCGCCATTCTCTATACTAGCTACACAGACGGGCTGTATGTCAGTGAACCTGCTGAATGGGTAGGAAAAGATGCACTCCTTGGAGTGTTAACGATTTTGTTCCACTGCGGAAAATTAACCCGATCGTCCGCTATTCTCTATACTAGCTACACAAACGGGCTGTATGTCAGTGAACATGCTGAATGGGTGGGAAAAGATGCGTACATTTGTTCCACGGGAAAATTAACCCGATCGTCCGCTATTCTCTATACTAGCTACACAAACGGGCTGTATGTCAGTGAACATGCTGAATGGGTGGGAAAAGATGCGTACATTCACGTGTTCCACGGTCAAACCCACTTCTTCCTTTTCCGATCAAGGTGCTAGACAATTACTGTTGCCAATGCCAGGGAACAGAAATGGTTAACAGGGCTTGCATTAGTACTGTTACCTTTTGTCGTGCCGTAAGGGGCGGGGAGACTTTCGGAAAAGCCAAATGTTTTTCGGGTAACTGGGCCATGAAATGCGACCTCATATATAGGTAGATTGTAAAATTTTCGAAACTTGGCGGGATTAAGACTCAATATCAAAGCCGAAAACCTATCGTTAGTGTGCAATGGCAGTGAAACCCATCGTATTCTTCACTATCATGCTAGTCTTTCCTCAATAACGTGCCAACTCGTTTCGTTTTCCATCTATGTGTTACTCTCATTGCCTCATCGTCGCATTCCAATAAACATAGTCGAAACACAACATCAATTTCGCGTATGGCTAGACTTCACATGCTCAACAGGATGTTATTTGAAATGGTAAGCTTCTTTCCTGGAAGTCAAAACCTGTTTTTTGCTGGTGGTGTCAACTATGCCGGAAGGGGAATGAAGATCCGTATAGCAGTAAGCCTGAGCCATGTCATAGAGCAACCAAGGATGCTGTCTGGTGGTGTTTGGTTCACTCTTGAATCTTGAGAATTGCGGTTGCCTTAAGAACATCGTCACTCTTTGCGTCGTGCGTATCAATCAGGACACCTCACGAACTACGCTCTCTTTCTGTCGCAATTGTGATGCAGTTTCTCTCACGATGATATTTTCATCGTAGATAGATTCTGTTTTCGGAACTGTCAGTGACGTACCACTCATCGATTGTTTCGTTCGGGGCGCGTCTATGTAACCAGCTATCGGAAGTTCTCATTTTCGGAACAGTTTTGTGGAGGGGAAGATAAAATAATTGTTCTTCTCCTCAAGCGTTTTAGCATGCAAGTAAATTCGTGCTCCTCTGTGCACTCTTCGTTCCTAATGTTCTCTATCCCTTACTGTCCCACCCACGACCAGGTTATCATTTTCCAGAATGATGTGTTGTGCAACAAGAAACTGTAATTTTTTGTCACTGTTCCACTGATCAGAATGAGTTTGGAACTGGTTCAGTCTCCGAATATTATTCTCAGTCCAATCCTACTGCTTTTACACAAAATGTTTGGTTCTCTCTGACACCAATAGGTAGTCCTCGCACTGAAACGTTGCCCGCCAACACATTTCGGTCAGCCCGTTCTTCCACTAACCGGCCTTTCGGATCGACAGTGGGCCCAAGCAGCTCGTATTGCTGCTCTATTACAGCAAGAATATTCCAGCCGACAGATAACCCTAATCAAACGCCTGGATGTCACAGTTCAAAGCTTCAAGTGGTCTGATAGGGCCAAGGTGAGTTTGTTTGAGTGTTTAGCCAAACTTCCAGACTAGAACTATTCCATTCCATATGTGCGTCTTCTTCGCGACTCGTATGCTTCAAAGCTCAAACAAACCCCCTTTGATTGACGCCGCGGCGGTCTGGCTACTGCCAACAACGACTGCTACATTTGCTTTCATACGATATTGGTGTTCCCACTAACGACCGACTGATTAGGACATGTTTGTTTCGAATAGCGATTGACATTGGTTTAGTCCGCCCCACCAGTCCACCATTCTGCTTTCCAAGTCTACGAATCAATCGAATTTCAGCTGCTCTATGACTGCTGACTTCCAGTATATAGCCATTCGGTGCCACCTAGTTATTGCTTTGAGTAGGACACATGCGATTGTCATTCATAGTGACTGCACTAATTGTGTGGGTGTCTAGCTGCTATTCGGATAATTTTTATCGTTCGAATTCTTAGTAAGTTTGTTGCTCATTTTCATACAACTCAAGTAGTTGTAGTTGCCTTCTCTCCTCTCTATCTCGTGCCTTCCTGTAATAGGAATTCACAAATCAATAGTCATGATAAACCTATCACTCATGATCGGGAGACATATTCTACTTGCCCATTTTGAAATTAATGTAGCCTCTGGGATGTTTATTGCTTCACGGTATGCTTTATTCCACTCGTCTCGGTTGCATACCCCACACTCTCACGTTTTTCCTATTTTTACCCCTTCTGCTGTTTGCCGAATTAGTCCCAGCTTGAAGCAATCTCAGCAGCCTATCATCCCATACGGTCGCAGATGGCCAAATCCACATTCCCCGGAGTTCCAGAGTTGCTGGCCGTTCGGGACAATATGATTTTATGGGTAGAAAAAACCAGCGGTGCTAGAGCCAGAAGATTCACCTCATGTGAACTCAATAAAATCCTGATTGGCCAGGTAAGTGTCTACTATCTAAATGCTCTCAATTGTTCTTTGTCCCATTGGCCACGCATTCCACTGGCCTAGTTTAATGGCGTTTGCGGACAAGGATGGTGTGCACATCGGGTTAGCTTCAACTCTTCGGTTCGCATTGAAAACAGATTATAGCAATCTGTGTATTCTTCTCTATGGTGGAATCGAACGAAGCGCAAAACTAATTATAACTGATAAAGGAAACTACTTGCGAGGTGGTTGAAAACTCCTCCACAGCCCACGATCAGTTTAGCCCTTCTTGGAGCTCATCATGTAGGCAAGGCTCTCGAGTTTCCGTCAACCTATTGTTCTACTTGAATCCGAACTGCCCGAAATTCGACAAGCGCCATCATTCGCCCATCTGAAGAATATCGTAAACGAGAGATTCAACTGGGTTTCAGGCGAGTATTCTGTGAAAACCAAGTTGTTATGCAAATGGGTGTATTTCGCTATCTTTGTGCAATTTGGATTCAAGTCGAACATAAGATTGAAGGGAACTCAGTGGTTGCGCATACCTGTTGAGCCTCAGGGGAACAAAACCGGTCGTGGGCTGTCGAAGAGTTTTCAGCAACCTTATGAGTAGTGTATTGCGTCTATACGAGCACCCGTTGTCCTAATACTGTATGAAAAAAGCACAGTTACAGGGAAAGATGGTTCCCAACTTCGGAGGCTCTTCGCAACATTGTCTTCTAGAGGCGTGGAAATCCCGAAAGATTTATGATCCTCATTTAATAACAATGGTTGATCAACCTCGACCCCCCGCGAACCAGAACATCTTATTTTGTAGGTACCCGACCGTGGTGGTCGTGCTTGGGAATTGGAACCCCCACCACCCGAGATGCCCGCTTTCAAACAACGTCAGCCCGATCGAGGACGAGGAGGCGGAGGCCCTGGCAGTGGTGGAGGCGGCCGGGGAGGTGGGGGCGGTCGTGGTGATGGTGGGCGTGGCTTCTCTGATCGTGGTCATGGTTATGGTGCACCAAGTGGTAAGTTCCAGATTTAGTTATTTTCTTCGTCCCAACCTCTCGTCCTTGTTTCTTTTTTCTCCACTATGTCCTTGTCTTGTTCTTGCTACCACGAACTGCCCAATTACAATGGTGTTTGAGATCTTCCTGGGCTATCTACAACCAAGTGTGCAATCTATCTTTTGGGTAGGATGGTGAGTTATCCAATAAATAACGCGCCAGTTGTTTTTTTGCAGAAGTTGATGGTTTACAAAAAGGTGTAGAAGAACCGAACATTCATGAATGTCACTCGTAACGATTTATCTCTTTCTCGCAAAGTCAAAATGGCTGAACATTCAGACAGCCTTGTTCACGTTCGAATGCACAAACAGTGGCAACTCTCGAAATCCACCATGTATGCGAACCCTCGACCATTAGAAGGGGACTTAGACACGATATTTCATTTGCACCAACCTTATTGCCGCAGCCTTCGCAGCGCAGACACATCACGTGATCTGACGTGGTGGCACGCATTACTAGTCACGTGTTATATGTTATGCATGGTTGAGGTGAGTTGTGCTCTAGCCCGTCAAAGTATCACTTGGTAGTGAGTAGTGGCTCTTTGTAGTTTGCTTATCCACATTTGTTTCACGAGCGACATCCCAAGGGAAGGTGCATCGAACCACAATGTTTTAGGCTTTTTTTTACGTCTTTATTTTTAAGTACGTGCACAGACTATCTGGATGGGGACTGGCATCCAGTATGAAAGCGACGATTGGCTGATCGGACCCAGGATTTGTAGTCCACGATCTTATTCACTCAGCCATCCGAGCCAAGGGTCCTGTAAATTAGTTGGTGGTACTGCGACTGGGCGGTAACATTAGCTTTCTTCCTTGTTCCGGTCGAAGTTTGACTATAACCGTTGTTTTGTCCTCTGGGTTGAAAAATTTATCTACTAGCGTTGCATCACTAATCGAGATGACACAAATCAGCGCCCAGTGAATTAGCGATCCTCTTGATTGCAGCCCTTTACTTAATCCAGCTACTATGCATGAATTACCCAAATGGTTCTTGATGGCGTCTTTTCAGACACGCAACTAACTCATCTGTAGCTTCAGTTCTTCGCTCTAGATCGGTTATGAAAAGGCTGTACGCATGATGAACATCGTCGCTATTTTATTGGGCGAGTGGCTGATATTCCTTAGAAGGTAACAACCTAGAATGTCTAAGACCCACTTAACCCCACACTGACGATATCACCTCGATGGGAGATGAAGCGTCTGAAATCCAACTGCCAAGCTCGGTGAACAGACCAACAACCAAGCAGCCCACCCGGGCTACCTATATTCCACAACATTGGCAGTGTCTGAGATAGTCTGATTCCTTAGGGTAGATGGATCGGGAGTATCTTGAACTGTGATTCAGTGTTTATAACGTTATCACATGCTGGCAAGCAGACGATAGTTCCGTTTCCCGTAGAATCTAACGACTGCCAGTAGCATGTGCCATTTTTCCCTAAATCTAAAGAGTAGCGGAAGCAGAACGATATTAGTATGCAAATGTGAAACGAGAGCTTAGTCTTTATAACGACTGCCAGTAGCATGTGCCATTTTTTCCTAAATCTAAAAAGTAGCGGAAGCAGAACGACATTAGTATGCAGATCCGAAACGAGAACTTCGTCTCTGCTGCTGAATGTCTATACGATTCAGTGTTTATAACGTTATCACATGCTGGCAAGCAGACGATAGTTCCGTTTCCCGTAGAATCTAACGACTGCCAGTAGCATGTGCCATTTTTCCCTAAATCTAAAGAGTAGCGGAAGCAGAACGATATTAGTATGCAAATGTGAAACGAGAGCTTAGTCTTTATTGCTGAATGCATGTATGTAGGAGGGTCTTTGTCTCACCAGCTTCTCCTCTTTACCGTGAATCACAGAACATTTCCATTGACCCCCGAGTTTCATTGTTGGAAAATAACTGCATTTGTAAAGTACGCTCAGTTGCAATCGCCTATGGTATTCTGAATGTGCTGTACAAAGGCTTCCTCATATTTCGGTTGGCGCAATATTCCAGTTGCTATATTTTTTCGAAAGACCACGACTTGTAAGGTTGATGCGGCTGGTGTTATGATAGTGTGTTACGTCAAAAAAACAGGTAGAATGTTGACGTCGTCTCCAGCAGTTCTAATTTACAAGGCCAAAACAAGCTGCACCGAAAAAGTTATACCGTTGTCACAGGTGGAATAGCCTGTATCGTGTTTTATGTGAGTTTGAAGTAAGCACCCTTTCTTGAGGAACATCACCAATAAGGCCAGGCTGATAAAAAGTCCAACACTAGACCTACTTCTAGCAAAATCTTCACACGAAACTTCAAACTTAATGAATTTTAGAAAAAAAGCATCACTTTTGCGTTTTCCCACGATCGATAGATTGTAAATTTCGTAAAAGTGATCCCCACATACTCGGAATCCACCAGCCCGCGTTTTTCGGTCTCATTCTCTGGTTTTTTTTTTGACATGGA